TCATGAGTGCATGCACTCATGGTGGTTCCTTCAAGATCAAACTCGCTCATTGGTCTATGAGGTCCCTAGAGGCATAATGTTTCAACCTCTGTCCATTCACAGTAAATGGTCTCGTGGGATCACTCCAAACTTTTACTACTTCGTACTTTGTTACCCATTTTACAACATAGGGTCCAGACCTTCGTGACCGAAATTTTACGAGAAAAAGTTTAAGTCTTGAGTTAAACAATAATATTATGTCTCCTTCTTTAATTTTCCTGTTTAGAATCCATTTATCATTCCATCTCTTAGTTCTCTCTTTGTACAACAACTTTGTGTTCTCGTATGCATCAAACCTTATCTCTTCCAACTCACTCAATTGTAACTTTCTATTAGAGACCTCGATTTTCCCACTAGTTTAAGGGTGATAGGGTGTGGCAACTCTATGGCGTACCCCATACTTTTTGAGCAAATTCTTAAACTGTCTAGCAATGAAATGCGACCCCCATGCTTATTACTAGCCTTGGAACCCCAAACCTAAGAAAATAATATTTTTGAACATTTTTATCACAATTTGTGTGTCATTAGTTGAAGAGGCAATGACCTAGATCTATTTCGACACATAGTCAACCGCCATGAGGATATACTGATTCCCTAAAGATGAGGGAAAAGATTCCATGAAATCAACCCCCCAGACATACAAACTTTCAACCTCAAGAATGTTATTTAGAGGCATCTCATTTCTCTTCGAGATATTTCATGTGAGTTGGAACTGGTCACATTTCTCTATGAAATCATGAACATCTTTGAACATATTGGGCCAATAAAGGCCCCCTTGTAGGATTTTCGAAACAGTTTTGTCGGTGCCAGCATGTCCACCATAGGCGGAGGCATGGCAGTATGTCATGACACTTTTAGTTTCCTCTTCGGGGATACACCTTCAGAAAATTCCTTCGGCGCCTCTCTTAAAGAGCATAGGATCATCCCAATAGTAATGTTTCAAATCAGAGAAAAACTTCTTTTTGTGTTGATAATTCAAATTCGGAGGTAAAACTCCAACAGCAAGGTAGTTGAAAAAGTCAGCATACCAAGGTGAATCCTTACCAACCAACGCAAAAATTTTGTCATCTGGGAAAGAGTCATGAAGTGGTAACTCATCCCCTTTCAAATAAATCTACTTAGACAAGCCATCGGCGACCATATTCTTCATCCCCTCCTTATTTCTAATCTCAATATCGAGCTCTTGTAGTAACAAGATCCGTCTAATGAGCATAGGCTTGGCATCCTTTTTTTCTTAAGAGATACTTAATGGCTACATGGTTAGTGTAGATAATTATCTTCGACCCTACAAGGTATGGGCTAAACTTATCTACGACAAAGACAATGACTAATAATTCTTTTTTAGTGGTCACGAAATAATTTATGCCTCATCCAAACTCATTCTAGCCTAATAAATGGCATGCATTTTATTGTCCTTTTTTTGACCCAACATCGTGCCTACAACATAGTCATTGGTGTTACACATGATCTCAAAAATGGCGCCCTAATCCGGGGATGCATTATGGAAGCAGAGATCAAAGCAATCTTGAAGACTAAAAAATCTTTAAGACAATCATTATCAAATTTAAGTTCAATATCTTTCATTAATAGCCCGATTAGGGACTTGGAAATCTTAGAGAAATCCTTAATGAACAGGCAATAGAAGCCGACATGACCTAGAAAACTCTTAAGCTCCCTCACAGTGGTGGTGGTGGTGGGGGGGGGGGAGGGGGGTTAGCTTCTCTATAACCTAAATATTGTCCCTATCTACCTCAATCCCTCTTTCGGACACTAAGTTCCCAAGGACAATGCCATATTTTACCATGAAATGATACTTTTCCCAATTAAGAACGAGGTTTTCCTTAACACACTTTTCCAAGACTTTTTCTAGATTTATCAGACAACTATTAAAACTAGACTCATACATAGAGAAGTCATCCATGAAAACTTCCATGATATCCTCCAAGAATCCGGAGAAAATCGACATCATGCAATACTGAAAAGTAACAGGCGCATTGCATAGTCCAAAAGGCACTCGTCGGTAGGCAAGCGTACCATAGGGGCAAGTGGGAGTGTTCGGCCAGATGCTCAAGCATTTGGTCAATGAAGTTAGCAGAAAATGGTCTTTTCGGGAAGCTTTGTTAAACTTTTTATAGTCGATACACATTATCCACCCTATAACGGTTCTAGTCGCAACTTGATCCCCCTTTTCATTTTTAATAACCAGCATCCTTCCTTTATAGGAACAACCTGAAAGAGACTAACCCACTTACTATTGGAGATAGGGTAGATTATCTCGGCCTCTTGGTGTTAAAGCACCTCATTTTTAAATACATCTTTCATATTTGGAATTATCTAGCTCTGGTGTTTTTTTATAAACAATAAATTATTCCATATGATCAAAAAATGATATATTAGGGGTACACCAATCCCCTTACAATGGACCGCATCCACATCTCCAACATCTACTATTGACAAACAAACTTTTCCAATTATAAATAATCTAATGGAGATTTAAACCAATCATAATAGCTACATTTTGTATTAGTACGATTACGAGATTCTAACCACCACCAAGAATTATGAATCACCCTAAGTGTTATATCCTCTAAATTACTAATCAAGTCGCTAAAAAGAACTTGATTACGATTCCACCAAATTGTCTAACACGTCGTGATCCAGATATAACAAGTTGCATCTTTGGAAGTTCTCCTTATGAGTTTCATGAACCAATCAAATAAGTCGTCACAAACATTATTGCCTACTATCCAATCTATCCTCATCCATACCGCAATTTTTGTCCACACTAAACGAATGCGAGGACACAAATAAAACAAATGATTATCATCCTTAAACACATTGAAACAAAAAATGCAAACCATTTCATGGGAATTGGAGATTATTCCCCTGGCGAGGAGTTTTTCAGTTTCGACCTCCCCCAAACTTGCATTCACTATCACAGGCCAATTTCTCTCCTTGTCCAAAAATTTGTACCTAAGGGTTTCAGGGAGTGATTTCCATTCAATTTGGGATTTTTGTTGTTCATGCTCGTCACCTTATGTTACGAGTACTTCTAATCTTTGTTGAGTAGAAATGAGATTTTTGTCCAATATCTTCTCATAAGCTTTCACTTCGATGTTTTCTTTATTGATTTAGACAATATCAAGCAAACACACTTCCAACTTATCGGTTGGAGGAGGTTTCGATGCGCTCTCTTGAATACAAGCGTCAATGATATCGACTATGCAACAATAATCTCTCAAAGAAGGGTTTTTCATGAGTTTTTCTAGAATGAACTCAATCTTTTCCTCACCTACCTCAAAAGTCAACTTTTCTCTCTTTATATCTATGATGGCCCCCGTCGTAGCTAAGAAAGGTCTACCTAAAATTATCGGGATTTTAGGATCCTCACCAATGTCCATTATGATAAAGTCAACCGACACATAATATTCTCCAACTCTCACCGAAAAATCCTCCAACGCACTTATAGAATACTTAACTGATCTATCGACAAGTTAAAAACACACACGGGTAGGTTTCATGTTTCCATATCCATCTTCCTACAAATTCTTACTATGACTTTATATTATCTATATATTGATGTATATTGCACAACTTAATGTTTAAAACACATTATTTATCTAAATTATCTATCAAAAGAATTTTTCAGTTATACTACCTATATATATAGATGAATATTGCACAACCTAAGGCTAATGCTGAACTTCTTCAAATACATGTATAGAAAATCAATCGTAAGAAACTTGCATCTAAAAACTTATTAAAGATGAGTATGATATTGAACATTTTGTTTAATTTTTCATTGTCTCTCTTATTTATAATAACTAATCCTAATTTATTTTTAATTCTATTCAACTCTCTTAACTTTTCAGCTTTTTTATCCATTGACTTCCCACTAATTTATAATTTTTCGACTTTCTTCTTATTTTTATTAATTTTTCACTAATCTATAATTCTTTTTATATAATTAAAACCTTTCATACTCTGAGTGTTATTAATAATTTCTTACTAACAAATTTAACATCTATATTTAATTTTTTCCTTCTAAATAATAACAAATAATTAAAAGCATAAAAAAAAGTTTAAAGAATAAAATATAAATAAATTTTTTGAGATATTACATAAAATTCACCGATAGACATCTTTACTTAATAAAAAATTAGAATATTCATCATTCACAAGATCGATTTAGCAGAGGAAAGAGATCGAAATGAAAACACTAAATTGTTAAGAAAATAAATCATTAAAATATGAAAATTAGAAAATATTCTAAAATTCTATACTAGGAAATAAAGTAAAGTAAAAAAATATATAAATTTTCATATAATTTTTTTAAAGAATTTAATTGATATATACTGATAATATAAATTTTTTTTATATTATCAGTTAATTGTATCAGTAAAATTTTAATTACAGTTTAACTTTAATTTTAAATATTTATAAAATATAAATGGTTGTGATGCACTGTATAAAAATATTTACACTGACAATACATAACAATTAATCTTATTTTTTAAATAGCATAATACATATAATATATATTATTTAAAATAAATCTAAATAATACAAATGTCTCAATTTTAATTCTTAAAAATACTTTAAAATATTAAAATTTTAATCTTTAATATTGCAAGTCTACATATGTTATATTATTTTTTTCTTCCGGAATACACAAATATTGACATAGTATTTATTAAAGCCTCCCAGCCTATTATTTAATGATATAAACATATTTAATTTTATTCAAACCTAGAAAGACAACCTAATTAGTATAACAAACAAAACGTGTGTAAAGCATATGATGCCAACAAATGTACCACTTTGCCATTTCCAATGTTTTGTTAGATCTATTTCAGAATCTCATGCTCTCACACACTACACTCTCTCATTCTTAACACATATATATACTCACTCATCTTTTCATTCTTACCCTACAATATTCATCACCAATCACAAAAACAATGAATCGCTCACATTTTCTGCTGCTGCTTCTTTCATCCATCCTCTTTCTCTCATTTACTCTTGGTAAGTAAAATCTCTTTCATCATAGAAAATTAGGTCTGTGGAGATCTCAAAATTTGAGATCACAATTTAAAACCCTAGTTACCATGTATTACGGTCGTCGTATCAGTGTAGGTGTCATATTTATATTCAACTGTCTGTTCTTCATCAGTTGTGTCAATGTAATTCTCATGTCTCATATTCGAGTGTCGTATTCAATGTGTATGTTTTTCGTCGATTTTCTTTATTATTATTATTATTTTTCATTAGGGTTGATGTTTTAATTTTAAGGTTTTGGGAGAGTTGCAATGATGGAGACAGATGGAGATGAAGATTCTTCTAAACAACTCATGGTTAGTTTGTTATTCAATTTTTCTTTCACAAACTAAATAATTGATTTCTTATGCTGAAAATTAATGAAAAATTGTTGTATATTTATTTAGGATGGTGATAGGAAAATGAGTGAAGTGTATGATGAAATAATGGATTATTCAGAGCCAGAGCCAAATACCAATCCCAAGAACGGCTATAATTTATCACCTCCACCAGCAGCTATTGTTTCTCCACCACCTCAGGCTTAAATTAAATGGAACAAAAAAAAGTTAATTAGAATTTTGCATTGCTTTGTAAAATAAGTGTAGTTAAATTTGAGTTTGAAGTGAATGATTTATAACATGGTGTATTGATTAATAGAAGAGCGTGAAATTTTGTTTATCCAGTTATATATATATATATATATATATATATATATATATATATATATATATATATATATATATATATATATATATATATCTATATATATATATATATATATATATATATATATATATATATATATATATATATATATATATATATATATATATATATATATATATATATATATAATGTTGATGTTGTGTTTAGAGTGTTTGTGCTTTCTACGCCGCTTTTCCAGTTGAATATCTATTATCAAGACATCCGCCCAAATTCGCATTTGTATATGGCATTAATGAATTAGTAGATGTGGGATATAGATTTAAACTGCGGGGTTTTGTGCCCTGAATGTAGCGCAATATCCACCGGAGAGCATGCATGTGAGTGCCCATCACATTATGCATAAATAGATAAAAAATGTATACCGCATATGAGATAACAGGTTATGTGAAGGTGAGATACTAAAGATCACCTAGAAGACTATGTTAGAGAGATGGATTTTTGTACGGGACACTGTGTGTGACACTTACCTTTGATTTTGTATTAATGGAATTGGACAAGTTTTGTTGGAAGACATGCCAGCTTGTGTGAATATGTCTTTTGCATATTTCTTTTGTGAGAGTAACATGCCATGAGTGTGGCGAGTGATTGCAATACCCAAGAAGTAGTAGACTTGTCTTAAGAAATTCGTAGTAAACTCGAAGCTGAGGAGAAAGATCTGCCGCGAAGTATCAAATGAGGTGGTGAGGATGATATCATCTACATAAAGTAAGAGGTAGGCTGGATGGGAGTCTTTGTTGTATATGAATAAAGAATGATCACACTTGTTCTGTGAGAAACCAATTTATGAAACATAGTTAGAAAGTTGCTTACACCAAGTTCTAGGAGCTTGTTTGAACTGATAGAGTGATTTTTATAAATGACACACATGATCAGGATGTTTGAAGTCTCTGAATCCTAATGGTTGCTACATGTAAACAATTTCTTTGAGTTTGTTATGGAGAAATACGTTCTTGACATCTAATTGATGAATGTCCCAAGATTTAAAAAGAGCAATACTGAGAATAGTACAAATGCTAGCCAGTTTGAAAACTGGGCTAAAGGTTTTTCGAGATTCAATGCCAACATGTTGACTTGCAGTATCACCTCTCTCAAATGAATCGTTAAACGTATAAAAATCCACATAGATCAAATAACATTAACATCAAGTTTTCGTGGTACTAAATCATGCATCTCACTTTTAATTAGAGTATTATATTCATCATGAGTTGCTTCATTTGTGGATGATACTATCTTAATTGAAGAGGTTTCTTTTAACAAACATTGGACTATTAAATATTTACTTAGAGGCTTCTAATTGGTGTCGGACCTTCGGGTTTTGTTGAAAAACAAATTATTTTGTCTTAACATTGATTCTAAATTTTTGCTGAAGGCCGTTTCTTTATTATCTTGTGGTTTTAGTTTGTGACCTTTTGTGTTTTTTGGTATTCTAATAAACATCCATCAATCCTACAAGAAAAGAGTCTTGGGCTATGATTGTTGACAAGTTGAAAATAAGGTTAGTGGTGTAGCATAATAGATTTTTGTCAATTGGAGGTAGAATGGTCCTTTTAAATTCCATTTTATCTAATTATTCCCATCTTTTTATTCTCTTTCTTTAAGGCTCCAAAGGTCATCCTTAATGAGATAATCAACATTCAAAGATATTCTTTGTGGGGATGGAAGTGTTAATGTGAAGAAGGTTTGTTGGTGAGTTTGAAAACTATTTGTTTGTTAAAGGTGGAAGGTGGTATTGGGTTAAACAATGTGGCTTGTTCAATAATTCTTCAATTAGTAAGTGGAAATGGAGGATTTTAACATATGATCCTTCCTCGTGGGCCGATTTACTCTCGTGTAGGTATGGTGATGTTAAGTTTGCAGTTTAATGGGGCGACATCGACAGAGAAAGATTCTTTGTGGTGGAGAGACTTATATGCCATCAGGGATCTAATTGATAATGCATCCCATTCTAATTGATTTTCTTCATCTATTTCTTGCAATCTTGGAAATAGTAAGATTTTGGATTTTTAGAGACATCATTGGTGTGGTTCCTCCTCCTTTGAAGGCTTATTTCCTTCTTACATAGGGGGCTTGCTAATCAACCTTTTAAATTTTCACCAGGCGCTCTCATTTTTTAGCGAGAGGTATCACCATCCTTTGACTTGCACATAACAAGGTGTTAGAACACGCACATACAAAAGAAACGCCCATAAAAATATACACCTTTGCTCTTATCTAGGTATTCCTCTACTCCATTGTTATTTTCACGGTCCCAATTAAAGAGGAAACTGCACTCCAGGAGGCGAAAGCACTCCAGAGCCTGGATCAACTTGTGTCCCAAAGAAGGGAGGATGCGTGAGTCCACCCTCACAATGGCTTTAGGGTCAGGGCTTCAAGAAAAAGGGAACAAAGGTTAGCCTCTTGCTCCCACCATGAAGGGAGATGCAGGATTTACCCCATTATTATGGAAATTTTGTCTTTCCAATCCTCATAAGGACTGTCAAAAGGCTTCAAAAAATGCACCCCTGAAAAAGGGTGTAGAGTTGTCCAATCGCTGCTGGGAAGGGACTCCATCCGAAAGAAATACAAAAATACCCTGACAGAAGGCGAGACCGCTAGATGAAGGCACATTATCTAGAAAGACCTAAGTATTCCCTAAGCGTTTGGAGTAAATTGAGAGGGGCCACGTTGATGGCAGTTAGAATCTCCATTTTGAAAATGGGGAGGTGTAAGTAGAAGTAAATAGTGGATGGATTTTCAGAGGTATCCATATTCGCTCTTTCCTCATTTGAGCAGTGTTCCATAAGTACATTCCTCTTGCAACCTGTACTGGAGAAACTAATGCTATAGTGGAATTTGTTGATGATATTCGCAATAGAATACATATAGGATATGTCTCACATATGGATAAAAGTCATTTTCCTTTCCATGGTTGACGATGATAAAATCAGACGCAAAGGGGTTAAAAAATAGAAGAAATTAAGTGGAGGTGTTACTTTGAAAAATATATAGGAATTCCAAAAGAGACGGACTCAGGCGAACATCCAATAAGCTGACTCCAGAAGTGAGAAAATACATACGCCTAATATCCACGTGTAAACATGGCAGACCAATTTTTCTTCTCGAGAAAATCTATCATGAGGTGCATTTAATGTTACCTATTGCTCTTCTCCTTCCACACTTAATTTGGCCAAGTCGGTTGACGTCTCATCAACACCGACACATTTTCCCAAGCTTTCTAAACGCCCACACCACATATGCATAAGTAGGACTAAAGCACTTTTAGCTGAGGGATTCGCCTGCTAATTTCCTCACCCTATTTTGAGGGACTCACCATTTAAAGGGCATTCACCTTATCCAGGAGAATCACCGGCAGGACGATGGACGCCTTAAAGATTAAGGCTGATTTCAACACACTTAGTCCTTTAGCGAAAAAGATTCGCGTGCTTGATAGGTTGTGTAGTATCTTATTTGAAAAAGTCATAGATTAGAGCGCCTATTGTCTAACAAATGAGTCATTTAGACGTAATCCAGTGGAGCCGCCCACGCAGTCTATACAACGTAATAATTAAGCAAGTAAAAGTCCTTGTTGACTCTGAATATATAGTCTGTCAATAACCCCTTAAAAGATAGGGAAATGGATGGTCAGATTCACTCAATACTACTATAAAGTTCGCTCTCAGGAGCCATAACACCGGTAATCTAACAGTTCGCATGCAACCTAGCAATACCGGCTTCTAGTAGGGCCCCTCACCTCACGTGAGACGGTCTCTTTAACAGCCTCAAAAACCACCATACAGTGTTACTTGCAACCATGAGCTAGCCTCACCTTATCTGTGTAATATACCTACTAGAGTTTCTGAATCTCCCTACCCTTGCAGGGGAACATGCACAAACCATGTACTTTTTTTCAACCGAACAATAATCAAACTTTAAAATTTTTCCTTTTACTCTCTTCTTATCTCATTTCATCATGTTTGTTGATAACTTCATGAGATCTTATTTAAAACTATAATAAAGTTCGATATAAGTTGATCTAACACAAAAGTTATTAGCATTTAACGAAATTGAAATGAATGCGAAAGTATTAATCCAAACAATTTTTAAAAAAGGAGAAGCAAAGAAAAGAATTGAAGAAGTTTGGTCGGGACATCCACCTAGTCTCGACAGACTGAGATTATTTGGTTGCATGGCCTATGCTCACATTAGGCAAGACAAGGTTGAACCTAGAGCTCTGAAATTCATGTTCGTGGGATACCCTGAAAGAGTCAAAGCTTATAGGCTACGGTGCCTAGAGCCAGATCACAAGAGGTGTATCACCAGTCTAGATGTACTTTTCAATGAAGCATAGATGGATTTCAAGAAAATTGATGATGCTGATGAAGAGTTGAAACAAGGAGAGATTCTTGTTGAGGTAAAGCATGTTGATGATGAATTGCGTATCCAATATAAAGTCGAACAAGATGCATAAGATGTTGTCGAAAATGAGGAGACTGATAATGACTACTTGCTAGCAAGAGACGGGTTGAGGAGAGTCATCAAGCCACCTAAGAGGCTTGAGTATGCAAATCTTATCGCTTATGTCTTAAACTCTGCAAGTGAGGTTCTAGACGAAGAACCTAGAGACTATAAGGAAGTTATGAGGAGTCGAAAGAAGATTGAATGGATGAAGATCGTGGATGATGAGATGAAATATCTTCATGATAACAACACATGTGAACTGATCAAGAAACCTGCTGGAGCCAGGTTAGTCAGTTGTAAATGGATTTTCAAAGTTAAGGAAGGAATCGAAGGAGTGGCCTTGAAGAGATACAAGGCAATATTGGTCGCTAGGGGGTTCACT